TTTGGGACAGAGAGAGACAGAGCATGAACGGGGGAGGGGCAGAGAGAGAGGGAGACACAGAATCGGAAACAGGCTCCAGGCTCCGGAGCCATCAGCCCAGAGCCTGACGCGGGGCTCGAACTCACGGACCGCGAGATCGTGACCTGGCTGAAGTCGGACGCTTAACCGACTGCGCCACCCAGGCGCCCCTGTTTGCTTGTTTAATTGTGTAGATAAGCTAATTTAAATAAACCTTCACATGTTTTTTGATGAGATTCTTTCATAACCTGTTAGGAAATAGAGTTACATCTGGCATATATAAAAGGTAGAAGGATAATCTTTTTAAAAAAATGTATTTGGCACAGTAAGTACTTCATGGTGACATAATTAGGCTTTTCTGTCCCAGCTGGTGGTTGGCATAAGAGCTAAGTCCAAATCCTCATTCATCTAGTGGCATGGACTCAGAGTCACCATGGACAGCTCAGGACTACTTTGGGACTAGGGAAGTATCCATCTCTTCAATTTCAGTAAGAGGCTACTTTTACTCGAGTAATCCAGATTAGAAATTGAATTGTACATGTTAAATTCACACCACTCTGTCTCAACAGTGGTTTATGTTAAGATCATGATAGAGTTATTCTGACTTTTAGTAACGAAGATGAAAAGGAAGAAGAAAGTAGTGAAGAGGAAGATGACGATAAGCGACGTCTCAATGACGAATTGTTAGGAAAAGTTGTAAGTGTGATATCAACATCTGAGAAGACTGATGGGTATCCTGCTTTGGTAAGTAAGATTTCTTTGCAGAATTAATCAATCATTTAAAATTTTGTTTAACATGGATCTTTAGAAAGCATTTAAACTATTTTGAAAGCATTACCCAAATTTAATTTGGACTTTATTGCAACATTGAGTAATCCTACTTAGGTCTCACATACTTCACTGTTTTCCTTTGTTATTTCCTTTAATTTTCTATAATCAGTCATTTATTGGGATCTTTCACTTCTTCCTTGAAAATGTGTGCAGTGGTCTCTTTTTATCCTATTCCTGTTACCATTTTACACTTGATTTATAGTAATTTCCTCCAAGTTCCTTTAACTTGATTCTTGGGTTTTTTGCTAAATTTAGACAAATTTTCCAGAAGCAACTTCTATAGAGTAGTTTTTAAATACTGATTTAATCATGGTAGTCCCATTCTCAAAAACCCCAAAAAACTTTCACAGACTGCCTAATGGATCAATTCTGGATTCTTTAGATGGATTTCTGAGGCTATCCTAGCTCTTAGTTTCCCATTTTCAGTGTAAGCTTCATACTCAGGTTCTCTCTTAACTGCTCCCTGTGTAAAACACTTCTCTTCCAAACCTTTACCCTTTTGCCTTAAATCAATTAGTATTTACAGAGGATGTGCAGGGAGTTCCACCTCTAAGTTGCTTAGAAGAGAGAAAACTATGAACCTTGTAACACATTGCTCTCGAGGACCTTGTTGTATACATCTAAGAGATTACATAGCAATTAAAGTTTATATAGTCATTTTTAAAACTTGGCGCAGACACTGGAGTAGGAAAGGGAGTATCGGGGAAAGGAAGGGTGGGTACACCTAGGTTTTGCAAATAGTAAGTCTTGGATGGGTTGGTAGGGAAATCTAATCTTTGCTTACTCAGGGGAAGGAATGAGAAGAAGGGATGGGCAAGAGAATTATTTCATGAGAGGAATCAATAATACTTGGTAATACCTGTCTCCATTTCCTCCTTTTTGTACTCCTCTCCTTTTAAGTGTCTTAACGTTCAGCTCAAGGCCTACGTTTTCTTCAGTCTCCCTTAACTACTCTAACGTAACTATTCCCCTTTTCTGAGTTTTGATATGACATATATCTCTAACAACAGTGCTGGCACAAAATGTGTCCCGAATTAGATTAGAATCCTTTAGTGAACCGAGGCCAATTTTTAATGTTTCTGTGTGCATGTAAGTACATTACTCAGTTGCTATATATAGTAAGTTTACCTAGAAAAAGTCTGAAAATCCTTTGAGTCTTTCAGTTGTACAGGCAAACAAGTAAATGGGTTTGGATTCAGAATATTCAGGTCATAATTTGCCAAGAGATTTTTTTTTAAGAGATTTTTTTAATTCCTTCATTTACTCAACAGACTTATTTGCCAGGGAATGTAGAAAATAAAAGATGAGTAAGACACTAATCTCACATTTTATTAATATTGTAATTTTAATGCAGAGAATAATTCAAGTAACTTTATATACAATAGTATATGTTCAACATTAGGACTTCTTGTCCTGAAAATTTACATTTATTGAAGGAAATCCAGAAAGTCTTCATGAAGCTTGTGCTTTTGAACTGAGCCTTGACAGATTTAAAGTTAGTTAAGCAGAGCTTCTCTAGAGGACTTAGAGGAAAACAGTAAAAGCAGAAAAGCAAAGGGTTTGCTCATGGAACTATTTGCTCTGGAAATCCATTTTGGCTAAATGTTAAACAACAATAGGGGAATAATAGGAAATAAGACTGGGAAGATAATTTGGATCTAGGGCAGAAGAGTCTTTAAAAGTTCACCCCAGGAATGTGGCCATAATTCTGCATAGAATTTTGCAGAAGAGTAACATTATTGAGCTGCATGTTTAGGAATGTTAATGAGGCAGTAGTGTGTTGAATGGATTGTTGGAAACACTGGAGATGACAGGAATCAATTTGGAGGCCATTATAGTGGTTCACAGGTGAGGTATTAAGCCCTGGGCTGTGCCTACTCATCCTTTAAGACTTAATCTTAAGCCTTTGCTGCCATACCTCTTCCTTCCCCAGATTGGGTTAAGTCTTCCTCCTAGGTGTTTTCATCTCTGTACTTATCCTCCATGGTGTTGTTTTGTGTTTACCTCTCCATTGTGCCATTAGCTCCTTAAGGGCAGACACAACTCTACTATTTGTCTAATAATTACCAGCGTCTAACAAACACACATTTACTGCCATCTGATGTTAAGGCAGCTGATACAACAGCCAAGAATTTTTAATTATCTGGATATAGACTGTTTAATATGATAGCCATGAGTCCTACGTGACTGTTTACATTTACATGTAATTTAATTAAAATTAAATAGAATTAAAAATTCAGTCTCTCAGTTGCACTACCACATTTTAAGTGCTTAGCAGTGCAGATAACAGAACATTTCCATCATTGCATAAAGTTCTGTGGGTGGTGCTAGATTGTAGCAGAGGGGGGCTAGTGTTAGGGGTGATAATGAGCAGGTAAATTTCAGCAATTCATTGGTAGACTTTATTTTTAAAAAATATTAAGTGCCATAAAGAATGTATAGAGATTAGCTATTTACTAATGTTCAGACATTTGTTACTTTTAAAAGTTAAGAAATTAAAAAGTTCTTAGATTTTCTTTGATATGCTTTCATTACTAAAAATTGTAATGCTCTGGTAAGAAAGGGAACTTAGATAGATATTTATTTTAAACAAATAGCAGATTTCAAAATAGATCTTGATTCAAGGATATTTTTAAAAATTATACTATGCCACATTTTCATTACAGATCATATGTTTGACTTTTTGGACAAGAAATGATTACGTAGCTTAGAAGAAATCAAATTTTTTAAAGTGGTGGTCATATTTATATTGTATTAACTATTTATTGTATAATCTGATAACTGAATAAATTAAATATCCAGAAAACCAATATGCTAAAGAAAAATCACAAGGCAACCTTCTTTTTTAAGTAATTCATTTATAATGGAAATTATTAATAATTAAACTCTTTCTTAACAAAATATAATTCATTTGAGAAGTGAGGGGGATCCAGAACTACTCTTTTTAAAAATGTATATTTTTTTGAGCAAGGGAAATTAGGCACCAATCCTGTTCTTTATTTTATATTTCAGGTAATATCTCCCAGCTGTAATGATGACATCACAGTGAAAAAAGACCAGTGTTTAGTTCGATCATTTATCGATTCTAAATTGTGAGTCACTTAATAGTATTATGGTAGGAGAAAAAAAAAATGAGATCACAGTGATAGATCCTTCCATAGTCCACACTTTATTTTGAAAAGTCTGATCATTTCATGAACTGTCATTACATATTATGCTTTGACTTTTTGTAACGTAGTTTATTTTTTCCTAATTTTAATTTAAAATAACTAATTTTAATTTAGTTATGTAAAAACTAAACAACGTGTAATAATATTTAAAAAGCTTTTTTATACAGCATGGTATTGGTTTTCTCTTTAATTGTAAAAGCTTGGTACTTTTATTATGTGTACTATTTCATATTATGAACTATTAAACTTTTCATGGAATATTACTAAAATAATTATTTTGACTTTTTTCCTGATTAAGTCAGATTTTTAGAAACTTTCTTTAACCTCAGCTTTGTTTTGTTTCCCATAAAGGATGTAAAAAAAAAAAAAGTGTGTGTGTTTGTATGTGTAAGTGTATATAGAGAGAAGTACTGTGGAAAATTTAATATATCTTACAATGATAAAAATATTTTAATATTCTTTTATTTATTTATTTAACTAAACTAAATAGTAAATTTAAGAAATAGCAAAGATCAGGGGTGCCTGAATGGCTCAGTTCATTAAGCATCTGACTTCGGCTCAGGTCATGATCTCACGTTTCGTGAGTTAGAACCCTGCATCGAGCTCTCTGCTATCAGTGCAGAGCTTGCTTCAGATCCTCTGTCTCCTCTCTGCCCCTTCCCTGCTCTTGCTCATGCTCTCTCTCAAAAATAAACTTAAAAAGAGAAATAGTAAAGATCAAAATAGACATTGTATCTTCAATAAGGCAAATATGCTGATACAAAGTATCCCATACCGTGTGTGTGGGAGGGTTGCGTAGATTGAAATATTACAAATGTGAAGCTTTCAAATTAGTGTATTTTGAGTATGTCAATCTTTAGAATTAAGGTACTAATTTTGGGGTTGTCTGGGTGGCTCAGTCAGTTAAGTGTCCAACCCTTGGTTTGAGTTCAGGTCATGATCCCAGGGTTGGGGAGTTCAAGCCCCACTCTGCTGACAGCAAGGAGCCTGCTTGGGATTTCTCTCTCGCTGTTTCTTTCTCTAAATAAATAAATAAACATTAAAAAAAAGGATACTAGCTTTGCCTATATTGTGTCTTGCCTTTTATTAAGGATTAGGATATGTGTGGTGCATGGTTTTTTTTTTTTAACTTTTATTTTTTTTATTATAAATTTTTTTTTTAACATTTATTTACTATTGAGAGACAGACACAGAGCATGAGCAGGGAAGGGGCAGACAGAGGGTGAGACAGAATCCGAAGCAGGCTCCAGGCTCCAGGCTCCAAGCTGTCAGCACAGAGCCTGACACGGGGCTTGAACTCACAAACTGTGAGATCATGACCTGAGCTGAAGTCAGACGCTTAACTGACTGAGACACCCAGGCACTGCTTAACCTTTATTTTTGAGAGAGAGTGCGAGCAGGGGAGGGGCAGAGAGAGGAGGAAGATGCAGAATCTGAAGCAGGCTCCAGGCTCTGAGCTGTCAGCACAGATCCCGGTCTGGGGCTCAAACTCATGGACTGAGACATCATGACCTGAGCCAAAGTTGGACACTTAACTGACTGAGCCCCCTGGGCGCCCCAGGATATGCATGTTCTTTTAAAAATATTTTATAGGCAAAATAATTTTGATTTTGAGGCTTATATTCTTCTGTGTTAACATTATTTGTCATAATTTTTATTTAATAATGGTTTCTCTCCCCTTTATTCTTCCATATAATTAGTTATTCTATAGCAAGAAAGGATATCAAGGAAATAGATATTCTCAATCTACCTGAATCTGAGCTCTCTGCTAAACCAGGTAAAATAAGAATGAATCAATCCATTATTTCATGATGTGGCTCTAAATGGGAAATAGTGGCTAAACCAAGGCTGAATATTCTCTGGTGCCATTTTAATTGTTTAGAGTTAGTATCTACTCTTATTTGATGGCTATTTTTTAAATATCTGGATAAAATATTTTATATGTAGTTTTTAGTTTAACTTTTAATATTAAGTTTAACTTTTCATGTTTTACCATTAATATTTTAACAGTATTCCCTAGAGTAATAATAAACATTAATAAAACATGACTTAGGTATGTTCAAGTTAATGATATCATTTTATAAGTGACAGCTGAATTTGAATCTAGATCTTCTGACTCTGAATGTTTTCTATTATTCTGTGTTGCTAAGTCCATAATAACTGTTTACATTTAGGGCTTCAGAAAGCAAGCATCTTCTTAAAAACCAGAATTGTTCCTGATAATTGGAAAATGGATATAAGTGAAATCCTTGAATCATCCAGTAGTGATGATGAAGATGGTCCAGCTGAAGAACATGATGAAGAGAAGGAAAAGGAAACCAAAAAAGAAGAAGAAGAGGTGGTAGGTGAAATTTTATGTTTGTAATGTAAAAACATTTTAATACTCTAAAGAAAAATTACTGGGTGGCGCTGTGGCTTAGTTGGTTAAAGTGTTTAGTAAAGTAGTAGTAAAATTACTACCTTTGTATATTTTCCCTCATTTAGATGCTCTTTATTTATTTCTGTCTTTTTCTAGCCCAAATTGATTTGGGGATGGGAGTTTTTTGGATTCCAACATAATGGGTAAATGAGAAATAATTTTTTTTTGCAGATATGAGGTTACAAAGAACTTTTCAGGTTAAATAATCAACAAGTACAAACTTTTAAAATAACCATAGAGAAAGAAATGTAACATTACATGTGTCAACTCATTTAAAATGTTACCATGTGGTATAACTGGTATTGTCTTACTTTAAAGGTGAGGCAAGTGAAGGTCATGAAGGTTAAGTAACTTTCCCAAGGTTGCACAGCTCAAATGTGGAGAACAGGAATTTGAACTCAGATCTGGTCTGTCTTAACTTGGCAACTTCACCTCTTTGAGACATTTCATAGTATCTGAAGGATATAGGTGATTAAAAAATCTTATCCAACCTGAGAGAATATTTCATTTGGCAATTTGATAGATTAATCAGAGAAAAGAGATTGTTTTTATAAGTGTTAATTTTTATGTGTGATATTACCGTGTCATTTAGGATATGTGTGTGTGTGTGTGTGTGTGTGTATGTATATATACACACACACACATATGTATAAATATATGTGTGTGTGTGTATATATATATATATAATTTTAGGAAATCATTTATGGACTACCACATAATTGCTTATATGAATGATGTTGTCTGTTTATACAGCAGTGGGATAAACTAACTGTCCAGTATATTTTTGGTTGTTATGAGGTAAAGAGACCTAGGGGCAGACAAAGAGAATGAGTTTACCAAAAAGAAGACCTATTTGAGCCTGAAAAATATTTGCTTGGAAAATGTGGAATGCTTGTTTCTGTTTTACATATACAGATGTGAATTTGTTAAATAAAATGAGTATACTTATATGTGATGAAGGGCATGCGATATTTCTTTCCTTTTACTTCCCCTGCAGTATTTGGTTTTTTGCAGTCTGAAATCAGAATGGCGGTTCATACTTACAGGCTGCCTACAGAGTTGCCATAGTAACGTGCTGTTGGTTTTAAGTGAGCATGCTCGGAAAGACAGGAAGGTTTAGCAGAGGCTTGGCAGGTTGCCAATGGAGGTTTGCCAGATGCTTTGAAATGGGCTGTCTTTCTTTTCCTTTCATGTAATGTCTGATTTTTATGTGGAAGAGAATGTAAGTAGTGCTGTATAACCCTGCGGATGCTATGCCCTAAGAGGGAAAGCAAATATTTGCAAGTCAGACTGAAAAATGTTCAGACACTGTACTGATTAAGTAGAAGGGGAATCTAACCATTTTGCATTTGAAAGAAAATGCAGCATATAGGTAAGATTTTTTTTCTAAAATATATTTAGTTACCATATGGATTGCCAAAAACGGGGTTAAATAAGAATTTTAGGTGTTGATGATGTGGCTAATAATGGTAGGACTCATAACCAAGCGTAATTGTTTCTTGTAAAAGAGACAGTTAGGAGTCTATTTTTAGAATATCAGAGGATGAAGGCTATTTTTCTGAAACATTAGATTTTGAAATGAAAATGATAATGAGACAGTTTAGCAAAATTCAGGATTTAAAGTCTAAATATTAAATGTGAGTTTTGTATTTTATCTGTATTTATTTATAGATTATGTGTTTTCAGGGTAAATAGGCCACATTTTCAGGGTGTGAACTGTTGCAGTCTGGTTTTGCTTTTTAAAAAAAATTAGCATTAGTTAGGATCTGGATATTGCCAAATATTGAAAGAAGATTGGCCTATTTTTGCTAATACTTTTAATTGGTGTCCCTTTTAGAATGCATTTTCTTTACTCCCCACCCCCCAAAAGAAAACCCTGAAATTTTAAACAAAGAGAGTAAAAAGAGCTCTGTAGTAAGGTTGGAAAAGATGGCTATAAAATAGTAATTAGTAAATAGTGCTCTTATTACAGCTATTAATTTCATAAAAATCATAACGTTTTATTCAAGCTGTGCATAAATGTTAGTAAAAAAAGAATGAAGAGCAGAGGCAAGCTCTGTTACCTATTGTTTGCAGGTAATAAGTAAAGAAATTTAAAGATGTAAGGACCTTTGTAAGGGATAGTATTTTCTTAAAATGTGTTATTTAAATTATGAACCTGTTAAAATTAAGTGAAGAAGAATGCTTTTTATCTACTGAAAAATAAAAGCAAAATTACAGTATTAAGGCACTGAGTTGTCTGACCGTTAATTTAAATTATTTTCCAGATGGTCAGTTTCATAGCATATACTTTATTGAATTGCTTGACAGGAACTAATTCCTCTTTTTTTTTTTTTTTTTTTTTTTTTTTTTTTTTTTTTTTTTTTTCTGGCCATGGAGGTACATTTCTTGAGTGAGATTTTGGTTGCTTTAGAAAAAAAAATCAGCTGCATTTCTTGCTCTTGGACTTAACATTTAGTTGCTGAATCATTCTAATTTGTCTTGAACAGTAATTTTAAAAAATTTAATGTACTGATAAACTGAGAAGCAGTTTAATCTACATAAAACAAAGGGGGAAAAAGTGGGTATGGTATAAAATGAATTAAAGTCTGATAAGCCAGGGCCTAGCCTACCTGGCTTAGTCATTACAGGCCTTTACTACATAGGTGAGGCTAAGCTGTTGTATTATACTATAGATCATATTCTTCCTGAAACATAATAATGGTATGCTTGTCATGAAAATTTAATGTTGCTTTATAATGATCACAAAGATCTTTTATAACAGACTGTAAATCACTGTAACAGTACTTTAGCCTACAATTTGATGTTTGTAAATTTTATGCAGTAGAATCATACAAGTGTTAGATACTTCTGCAGTGTTAATGGGCAGTGGACATTGTCTTTTATATTTGATGCTTTGAGTACCCTAAAATAGTCTAAATAAGGAGATTTGAGATTCATGGCTTTACCATGTGGAAGAGCATCTTTTTTATTTAATATCATTTTGAATTCCTGAGCATTGGTGATTCAGGATTGGAGTGCAAGAAATATGTTTTGTACTGTTATTGGGTGGAAAAGACTTGCGAGTCTAACAGGAAGTAGGTCCTATCTATATTTCATGACTGATTTTTAACCTGTTGGTAATTACATTCAAAAAAAGCCCTGGAGAATATTTTTGTGGGTATTACTTAAATGTCTTTTATTAGGAAAATTTTATATTAGAAAAGATACTCCTGATTTCCTTTTAAGCTTTGAAATTCATTGAAAAGTCCATGTAAACATAAGTAATGATGTCAATTATTCATTTACTCCTTCCTTAAATTCACTTTGGATGAATGGAGGAGAGTTGTCTAAGGATAAAATAAATAGGTGAAGACATTTTTATTAAAAGGGAATTTGACTAGTTGCAGCTGTTTTATTCTTTTGGTTTGCTGTAAGTAGCCTTATGTGTTGGGCCCTTTCAAAAATCTCTTCTAATTTCATGTTTAGTAATGAAAATAAGACTTTAGTGCATTTTTATGAGATACTTTTTTTTTGTTTGTTTAGAAGTACTGACATCCATTTCTCCGATTTTTGAATTTTCTAGGAATTACTGTCAGATCTAATGCCAGTCATACCTAATTACATTCCACTATTGCAAAAATCATAAGTGCTTGTGGTTTTTTTATTCATGGAAACTGGAATTTTTTTCTTATATGTAAATCTAGTGGTGTTTGTATTTATGTCTTTTTGTAAAGGCATTTGTTAGTGATCTTTCAAGATCATTTTGAGTAAATGCTTGGTAACTCGGGAAAATTATGCTAAGTCAATAAAATTTAAAGAAAAATTTCAAGGTAATGTTAGTGTTTTAGGTATATCTAATAACTCAATCAAGTGTTTCTAAGCAGGTCCTATAAAGTCAATTTCCAATCAATAATTGAGACTTTAGCTTGCATTCAGATTTAATAACTTATTTGCAAAAGTCTTAAAATATAGCTTATTGAGCAAGCAAACAAAAATGTCCTGATGTGTTTGGTAAAATCTTTCCTAACAAAATTAGCATAAGACTAACCAAATCTGGTTCACCTAATCAGATTAATGAGGATTTCACATTTGTAGACACAATTATAGCTAAATTTGTATGTATTTACAAAAAAAAATCCCTTCTCATATCAAAGTATTTCATAGTTGTGGTAGCATGAGAGAGGGTTGAGTGAATTTAAAGCCGTAGATGTGACAGTATCCAAACCATTGTTGGATGATTAAAAGTAGAAAGTGTGTACCTTTTCAAGGAGGGGGGAAAATTACTACTAGTCTCAGTCAAGTCTGATGTAATTCAAGAATCTTCTAATAATTTGTTTTAGGCAGGCTGTTGTCACATTGCTTTCTGAACTTCTAAAACAATATGTTACCAACCACATAATGAATATGTCATGACCTCTTATGCGATCCTTGAAATATTCTGTTTAAGTGTACACTCTAAATTTTATGACTACCAGCATCTGCTGGGCCTTCAACACAATTGGTCAGTTCCCAGTTTCTATAATCAAATCCCTGTGTCCTCTGGCCCTGGCTCACTCCACTCCAACTTCAAAAAGAAACTAGGAGCTTCTGATGGAGAGCATGCACTATACCTCACCTGCCTGCCCTCCTTCCCTTAAGTACAAGTGATAATATGTTACATTGCCTTTTTCTATGATGAGGACCTCAATTAATGCTCTGGATCTCATTCCCTTTTTCCTTATCTTAGTCTATGAACTGTCTCTTTTCTTTCCAGGATCTCTAGCCTATTCTGTGCTGTTTCCTTCTCTCCAGTTTTTAAAAACATGCTTCTCTCTCTCCCAACCTTCTAGCAGCCCCTCCAGATACTGCCCTCTTTCCTCACCCTTATGGACCAGATTGCTCAGTTATATACATTGTTCTATTTCCTGACCTCCTGTTCATTCTTAATTCACTGTAGTGTG